TCGCCTTAACTTCTGGACCTTAGGACTTTGTTTACTTACTTTTGATCCTTGATCATATATTTTATGAAGGCTTTTTTTTTTCCCTCCTTCTTTTGAAGGAAACATCCTTACTGAACAGTTAGACACCAATGGAACTCAACAAAACGAGGGGCAAGCTCGCTAAATTACTTGCAAAGAACAAATCTTTAGCAAAATAAGATGCCACGAGTAGGATTTAGTTTGCAAGTAGGCCAGCTATCACTCCAATAAACAAGTGAAAAGTCTAAGTTCTCATGTAGCGCAGGGAACTGACACATGACTTGGGTCATTTAGGAAATGCCCACCCGTCTGGACCTGCATTTGGAAACTGAGTGGGATAAAGCTGCTGTAAATGGTACTGCGTGCTCACTTGTAAGACAGTAAATCGAGCTCCTAGTCCAGAAAGGCGATGTGTCCGAGAAGGCACCAGTCACTCAGTGTGCATTACAGGGAAGATCTGACCTGCTCTTAGAGCCTACTTGGCTACTGACTAATAAGAACAGAAATGTAACCTTGCATGTAGCTTCATGCATATGTCTGTCTTTACGTAGGCATCTAAGCATAGGTGTCTGAAGCTTGTACTCTTTTCTGCAGGGAGCACTCTTGACTTAAGTTCGTTCTTGCACCTTATGCAGACACTGTTAACTGTCCTAAACGTGCTGAGGCTTTATTGACCTAGCTTCACACATAGGATAAGATTAACATGTTTCTCCTACCTACAAACTTTAGAGTGCTAGAAAGTGTCTTTACTCTAGAATTTGCCCCAAGCAGCTGGTTAAGACTAGCTTTCAATAAGCTGCTGTGATGTTGTTCATCAAACTTAAAGGGGGCATTTCTGCTTTTTCTTGCCTTTTTTTTTTTTCTTTTTTGTTTTTCCCAGTTACAAAAATGTAACAACACTGATTTCTGGTGCTACTAAAATGTTAATGTTCACAAAATTGTTTCTTGTTTTAGTAGAATTCAAGACATTTTTCCTTACAGTTACAGTTCGTTAAACAGTCCTCTCTTGTGGCAATCTAACTTCTGAGTGAGTGAACAAATTTTACGTTATTATGGTAATGTTGGAATTAAGTATTGTATACTGTTACATATAAATTTTCTTTTTTTAATTTCATGAAACAAATTACTCAATCGTGGTTTTACGCAAGGCACTGCTTGTTTGCTTTACCTCTGCAACTTATTTGATGCTGCTGTTTGTAGACCTTTCTTTGGAATTTTCACTATCGTTTTGTTTTTTATTCCATTAGGAACACTTTGTGAACACAATCCAGTCAGTATTTTTTTCTTGTTTATCATACAAAAAGCAAAACATGTTCTGGTTATAATCAGCCTTGCAAATTTCCTGCTTGAGTGAATTTGATTCAAATACTAGAATAACGGTCCTTTTAAAGTGCTACAGCTCTTACTTCTCACGTTGGTATCTTGTCTCTGTTATGTTTGCATAGCATGTGCACATGGACCTTTTTGATTTGGCAAATGAAAATAGCAAATATTTTAGCAGCAACTGTATCTGTAGACATCCTTGCGTCTACATTGCATTGCTCCATCAAAGACAAAACCGTAGTTTGTTCTTATCAGAATTTTCCATGTAGCATATGTTGTTTAGTATCTGATTACATTTGTTGATCCTCTAAACCAAATCATGTGCCAAATGCTGATTCCTTGCTTAGGAGAGCATCTATCTTATGAGGAAAGACTAAGCGAGCTGGGCCTATTTAGCCTGGAGAAGGGGTCGTTGAGAGGAGATTTGAACAACATGTTCAAGTACCCTGAGGGGTGACTGTAGGGAGGATGGGGCCAGGCTCTTCTCTGTGGTGGCCGGTGACAGGATGAGGGATAATGGGCCTAAGTTGAAACACAGGAAGTTCCACCTCCATGTGAGGAAGAACTTCTTTCCTGTGAGGGTGACAGAGCCCTGGAACAGGCTGCCCAGAGAGGTTGTGGAGTCTCCTCTGGAGATCTTCCAAACCCGCCTGGATGCCACGCTGTGCCACGTGCTCTAGGTGACCCTGCTGGAGCAGGGGGATTGGACTAAATGATCTGTAGAGGTCCCTTCCAACCTCATTGTGTGATTGCGTGTCTTTTTTTTCCAGTAACACTTTGTCGTCTTATACCCTAACAAGAGTTACCGTTCTGGTGTAATCGAGCAATATGGCGTTTCACCTCCTGTGAAATGTAACTGCAACCTTGCAGTATGCTTGATGTACATTTAATATTGAGTGCATGACAGCGCTGACCAGTGAAGTCTCTAAGCAGTGAAATACCTCAATAATGTCAAAAGGAATGCAGGTGTGGAGTTTATATGCTGAACTACTACATTGGAATAGTTGAAGTAACTGTGTCGAGAAAATAAAATGCAATCAAAGATTCATATTCAAGAGAGAAACCACAAAAAAAAGGTGATGGTGTAACAAATCTCAGCTAAATAAGCAAAGTGAAAATTAGAGGCAGTACACCAAAATATTTGTCATTCCCGATGAAGAAAAATGCAAATACTGATAAAGTGATTGGTAAAGTAGACCCGTACTAAAACACGTACAGAAAGGTTTAAGAATGAAGAATACAACCCTATTTAGAGCATAAGAGAATATCTTCTGTGATACAGATGCACTGAATTTTAACAGTTTAGGTTGCCTGCATACTCTACCACATGTTGGGTCCAAGTTACAGACTAGACTAGCCAGTTTCTCCACCAAGTTGTTGCACTGCAAATTTATGCAGCTTATGGGCTTAAGGAAGGCATACTCAAAGCCAAGAACGTAGTGTTAATCTGCACCAAACTATTTATAGCCTAAAATTATTATTTACACATCTCTCTGCCCGTGCTGCTCTATGCTGTGTTTTTGTTTGGCATAATATTACTATCTATTAGTTACAGAAATGTATATAAGGCAGACTTCTCCAAGCTAAGCAAAATCTAAAGTAAGTGGAGCTGCAGTCATTCAGTCATTAGACAACTGCTGTTGCGGGCAAATAAGCCGGAGCAGAGGTGCTGGCAGGCTGAGCCGAGTTTCAGCAAAGCCTAAAGGTCTGCAGGCTGGTGTCCTTAGCCTACTGCCAAAGCCTGTAGTCTCTTGCTGGTAAAAATACCACTGTAATAACATGTATTTACTGCGTTACCAGGCTGCAGCCACGTTCAGAGTTTTTAAACTGTCATGATAGACAATTATTGCATGTGAAGAGAGAGTCCCATGGACAGAAATGCTTGGTTTTATAGCATGAGTGTCTTAATTCTCTACAAAGTGCTGTTAAGACAATACGTGGAAGATTTTGTTCAGTCTGTTTTTTAAGAGGCTGAGTCCCATACTCTTTCTATTGCTGTATGAGGTTTTGGATATAGGTAAGTCTAAAGATTATTTTTATTTATTTTTGATATTTCTACTGCTCATATTTTGAGGTTAGCAACTCTTCTTGTTAACATAATGTCAATACAACAGTAGCAACCAAATATGAAATTAACTTTTACAAATGGCATATTGTAGAAACACAAGGTTCATCTTTTTTATTTGAACAAATATATGTTGTAGTAAACTTTCAAGTTTCTAAAGACTAAACAAAACTGAATTACAGTTAACTTAAGGAAATAGGACAGATTTGGTGGGGAAGAAGAGTCATTATGGTTCTGATTAGCTCTACAAAGGTGAGGAATCCACTGTAGCAGGTTGTACAGAGAAGAGAGATTTTAAAGGAATTTGCAAATATGACAAGAGCTTTCTCAAGGGAACATACTTGTAGTTTTCCGGATCTGCCATGATGCCATGAAAGCTTTCATAAAGAGTAGTAGTCTTTTGCCAACTTATAGTTGCAATGTGTACTAAAGTTACTTTATGCCCGAGTTCCTTCAAAGCTTTCTGATATGACATCCAATTATGTTCTTTTTTTCCTAAGATTTTTTTCTGCCACCCCTTCAACTTGTGCTAGATCCTGTCTGTCCCCAAGTGTTCTACCATGGGAATTCCTTTCACAACCATGTAGTTCTCCTTAAGTTCTACTTAAACTCTTTTTATGAGCTTAAGTGTTGCTTTGGCCTTTTTTTTCTTTTCCAATTACTCTGATTTACGCCAGGATATTTTACTAGCTCTACAGTTCCTGTTGCACTACTTAGTTTTATTTATTTTCTTTTATTTTGGAGGTGAGTGGGGCTGGAAGGAGATGTATTCATTCTAAACTTTTTTTTGCAAATTGCCCCTTATTTTTTTTTGTCTGCCTTACCCTAGTTTTATGTTTGACTGAATTATTATTATTATTATTTTGGTGAATTTGTAACAGATAGAATTTGCCTAATAAAAATGGTGACCTATGTTGTAGTTTAAGAGCAAAAGACAATATGGAAACAAAATGGAAACAATTTTGTACCTAAATACTTCACATCACAGATATGTGTAATTTGATGAATTTCTGCATTGTAATTGTCCTGATATTTGAGCTTTCAAGCATGATCTATGGGTTCCCATCAAGTACTCTGTGAAACACTGAGATTCTGCAGTTCTTAGTAAGGAAGATTTTTTTTTAAAAAAATGTTGTTCTTAAGTTTCAGTTTAACTGAAGTTTTTAGTTTTGTCATCTAATATTTTTAACTATACACCCAGACTTTAGGCTTTACCATTTTTATGTCATTAACTTTATATCTGCATGTATAAATAAATGTATATTTGAACTTATCTATCTAAAAAGTTAATGTTTAATTATGCTTATCAATTATACTTCCTATGTCCTAAATGAACCTGCTGTTTTCGTTAAATGGCAAAATTCAGTGGGATGAGAGGAAATAATCACTTTCTAAGGAAATTTGTGGTTAGTGTATAATATCCACAGCTTATATGGCTGATAAGTTTAAGTATTTTAATTATAAGATCTCAATGGTGTGATAATTAGGCAGGACTTCATGTGGAATGCTCTTCAAGTGGTTCATTATCTGCTTTTAACTCTGTACTGAAAACAAGAGAAGCTGAGAAATAGTTCATTTTTGTCCTCTGTTGTAGGTAGCTTGTATGCAGCTCATCAATGCTCTTGTTACATCTCCAGATGATTTGGATTTTAGGCTTCACATCAGAAACGAATTCATGCGCAGTGGATTGAAAGAGATCTTGCCAGTAAGCGTCTCCTAGTCTCTGTTTGCATTTCTGTTTAAATTATTCCACTGTTTGAGCTTGAGAGGGGGAATGGGAGAACAAGTTTTAATAAATTATTCTCAGTGGCATTTTATTAAGTCTGAGAGGGAGCAGTTAGATATGAGATTCAAACGTAACATAAGAATGAAAAGATAAAGTGAATTCCCTGGAGTTTATGCTGATTCCTCAACCTTTTAGGACTTGAATGAACAAGAACATGCAGCAGAATGTTGTGGAGATACTAGCTAAGCCATGTTGAAGCCATGTTTGGCTTTTTACTATTTAGTTAAACCTGTGTATTCTTGTAACTTTAAACTTCAAAATAACAGACTTATGGAAGCTATTAAAAAGGTAGGATTTATTTACGTGGGGAGTTTTTCCAGCCTTTTCACTGTTCTTTCTTTGCAGAAATTGAAATGTATAAAGAATGAAGCTCTGGATATTCAGCTGAAAGTCTTCAATGAGCATAAGGAAGAGGACATGATTGAGTTCTCCCATCGTTTAGAAGATATTAGATCTGAACTAGAATATCCTTTCTGTCATTAACAAGAGAAATATGTACAAATAATATATATAATGGATATTTTTGTGATACAATTTTTGTTTAAAAAACTTACTGGTCAACATTTAACTGAAAAAAAAAAATAAAAAGACCTTACTGCAATTTTCCTTAACTCTTTTACTGAAGTAAATGATGTTTACAACATGGTGTGGAATACAGTTAAGGACACTAGTGCGGAAGGATATTTTCTTTCTATTCTCCAACATCTTTTGCTGATAAGAAATGATTATTTTGTACGGTATGTTTAATGGTAAATGTTAATTGTGAATTTGATTATGTTGTAGTTGTTAATAGAATAGTTATTCTAAAAAGTTTGGCAGCTAATACAGTTTAATATTTTTCAGTGCAGACTGCAATTCATAAATATCCTTTTGTTCAAAAAAAAGGGGGGGGGAAAAGTCACTTCTGAATGAGTGATCTGTGCGTTTTTGTCTCTCCTGCTTAGAATACAATTATGTATGCATCTAGAATACTTTCCTTATTGAAATCTGAAGGTTATTGACTACCAGTATAAGATTAGAAGTCCTGCTCTATTGTGGCAGCAGCCTTGTAATCTTGTGACATGTGTCAGCCAAATGACAGAAAGCATTATGAACAGCAGTGCATTTCTTCATGTAAATCTGAACATGTTTAATTTAAAGTAAATTGTTCTGTTGGGAATAGCATATTCTCTGCAAGTTATAATTTGGTGTGAACATGTTAGTGTTTCTTGTAAATTTGTCAAAATAAATTTCAGGGTGATGGTTAAGGTGTATGCTTAAAGCTGGTGTGCTTTTTATTCAAAATACTCTTCGTGGCCTTTTGAAGAGACATTGGGGCAACCAGACATAAACTGGACAGAGAGGGAAGGCAAACTAATATTTCCATGATGTCTGAAAGTGCTTACCTGGCAGGGGTACCTCTGTGCGAGGCCTCTTCTACCTGGGGTGGTTTGAATTCACATTTTTCGTGCTTTGGACAAGTGACCCAGCTGTGCCACGACTGGGAGTTTCTGAGCAGTTCACTCCTCTTGGTGAAGCAAGGCTGCAAAGCAGCCGAAGCTCCATTAGCCACAGAGGCAGAAGAAGCCAAAGGGAGAGCTGAACAGATTTGCTTCCTGTTAGCTGGAAGGAAGGAGGAGCCTCTTCTTTCTGTAGTTGCTTGGAAGGATAAATGTTATATAAGAATGGCTTATCGATAGGTTCACTGTCAGGCATATTTGTCCTCTACTAAGAAATCAAATAATTCATTTGGTGTTTCCATCTATCCTCTGTGGAAGAAAGTCAGTTCAAATGGTTTTACGGTATGCATAGACTGTGTTTTAAGTATATGCTAATAAATAAATGATATTACCTTTCTCTCTTTAGTCCACAGTATTTCAAGTTAATTGAAGAGTGTGTGTCCCAGATAGTGTTGCATCGAAGTGGAACAGACCCAGATTTCACATATCGTAAAAGATTAGATATAAATTTCAGTCACTTAGTAGGTAAGTACTGTTTGAAATTATTATGGTATCGTATTTTTCTTGTATGTGTCAAAAAACAAGTTAAAGTTGTGTATATGACTGAGAATCTTGTGTCCCCATATATGTACAAGTTATGTTTATTTGTTTATTTTTAAAGATATTTGTGTAGATAAAGCAAGATTAGAAGAATGTGAAGAGAGGGCTTCAGAACTTTCCAGAAAAGTAAGTAATTCTTAAGTTATGTGATCAGAAGATGGACACAGGGAACTACAGAATAGCTTCATGAATAAACTAACTGAATATAGCTTTTAACTTCAAAAACTTATGATCACTTTTGTGTTAATGGAAAGTTGAATGTTTCTTGTGCAAACCTAGGTGTACGTGAAGTAAAATAGATCTTCCTGCTGTTTATTTTGAAGTTTCATGTACAAATCTGTCAAAAATCAGTTGAGCACTTGCATTGAATAGTATTTATGATATTTTTTTAACAAGATTAACAGTGAGAGAACAAGTATTGGCTTGTTTGTATTTATCAACTCTGTATTACAAAAGCTTTTTTTTAAGCTAGAGTTCTCTATACAATTCCAACTTAAATTGTATTAATTGCTTCATACCAATTTATAAAGACTTGTAGAACTAATGGAGTTGGAACTTCATTCGCCCTCCGGGGGAAGTTAAAGTAGAATAGCAAATGTGGTGTATGCGTCCTTAGTTTTGTAATGTGTGAGTTTAATAGTAAGAATAAAATGAAATACAAAAGGAATCTTGAGAAACTACATAGAACAGGAAGATTACAACTCTATTCATTTTATTTCTCTCCTTATTAGTTTGAAAAAGATTTTATAGTTCACCAGGAGACCCAGGCTCTACTACAAAAAAAAGAAGATCGGATCAGTGAGCTTGAAGCAGAATTACAGGCTTTTAAATCACAGGTATAAGATAGGTTAAAGAATGTATTAAGTGTTGTTGTTGAAATAAATTTCACTTGGCTCCTTTTTGTATATTCTAATAGTACATTTGAGTGTTTTTTAAGAATACTCTGATCTGTTATTACTGACTGTTAGTTGCCTTTTTTTCTGTGTTTTATACAAAGAATTGTAGTGTGACATTAATTAGCTCTGTGAGTTTCCCAGTTGATCCTTCTTGTGCCTCAGTTCTGTTAATTAAACTAGTTTCTTATGTTTCATTTGGGTTTTGCTTTCAGTGTCATATATTTCAAAAGTAATTAACCACATAGGGTAATAAGTCTTATGCTCCTAGATTAGCATTCAGCACTGTGATCTTTATCCCTTCGCAGGAAAATATTCGTTATATAGTTTATTCTGCTGAAGCCTTGCCATGGATATCCATCAGTGAAAGAAATAACCTGTGGCTACATAAAACCACTTCCTGTTTTTTTTTTTTTTTTTTTTTTTAATTTTCAAACTTTAATAAATACTTTAAAATATGATGGAGAGAAGAAATGTGGATTTTGTGTGATATTTCACTTAACTGCTTCAGCTTTAATATCTGTGTAACAAGACTGACCAAGTGATTTTTCCTGTACCTTAGAGTAGGTGTAGTAGCTGCAATCCTAAAATGACAGAAGAAAGGCAGCAATGAGGGACGTGTACAGGGAGATGAAGAAATATGTTTTGATTGGACTTTATAAAAGTTTTTTTTTTTTTTTTAATAAGTAAAACTAGTTCATATTTGTTTTGGTAATATTTTAAAAATATGCTTCTGATTCAGATTTCTGGTCAGAATTCACTGTTAATGTCAGAATCTATTTTTAAAAAGGGAAAATTGCAAAACTTGTTGCTTCTCCAAGATTTTGTTTTTTTATTGACAGCTTTATATCATGGATTAAGAAAATAGTTCTCTATACAATTCCCGTAAAAACAAAACAAAACAAACAAACAAAAAAAACCCACCTCATCATTTTGTAAGCGAAATAGCCTTTTCTCTCTCCTTTTTTTCCTCTTTTATTGTTCACTGGAGTGAACTTTTTTTTTATATAGATAGTGTGCACAATTTAGTATTCTACTCACAAATTATTATACCTAGAGTTCCCTATAATTTGTGTTTCTTGAAATACTTTGTAAACAAAGTAATGAATTATTTCAGTTACTTCAAACAAAGAGGAATGTTTGGTTTTCCATTTGGCATCAGTTTCAATTTACCATTACTGTTTCTGCTGTATGTTATGTGACCATATTGTGTTTTACTTGGTATTCATTCATATTAATTTTCCTTCATTTATTAGAACTTAATGGTTCAGTGCCTGCTTCTAAGTGTAAGGAACACACATTCAGCGGTTCAAAAAACAGTAATACCTTATTTGATAAATTCCTTGATAATAAGTTATTTCCTTTTTACAATCTTTATCCTTTGCTTACCGTATTCCCTTGTGCAGTTCAAAAATGAAATGGACTATTCCAGTTTATAACTATCAGTTGAATAAGTTGATATTATCACTAGTAGATAAATATTTCTCAGTAATATTTGAAATCCATTATAGAAGTTGTTCAAATAGCAGGCAATTTTTTTTGTCTTATAGACATGCATATTAAAAAGACCCATCCTATACAGTATAGATCTTCACCATCTAGAATAATAAATCAGTGCAACATCCTAAAAGTTATTAATATAGTTGTCAAATCTGCTTGATTAAGTGCTATACAATATTGTGCAGTTGCTGCATTTCCTATTGACTTTACTATAAAGGGTAACGTTTCCCGATTTTAAAAATATAATGGCCATTAGTTTTATGTGTCTACAGATTTAAGGCAGCACTGTTTGTATTAAGTCCTTTTCTTCAGAAAAAAAAAGAAGGGCTGGGAGGGGACTTTTTTTGTAATTCCTTGGCCCTTTTAGTTCTGCAGAATGAGAGTGCTCATCTGTAGCAAAATGTCTAATCTTCAGCTCTGTTGGTTTGTTTGTGGTAGCTCCAAAAAGTGAATTACTAATCTAGTTGGATTCTGCTATTTATTTTAAATTACTAAATCCTGGTGATAATTCTCTGTTCTGTAGGGCAAACAAGAATATTGGAGACATTGAAGTTATATTTTAATATGTGCTGGACTCTGACAGTCTAGATAAGCTTTCACCATACAAGTGGGTTACACTGCAGTTTTTCATTTTCCACGCGTTTTGTGGTCTGAATGTCCACTTGTAATTGGAAGTCCCCATAGTGTAAAATCATAAACCCAGTGGCTTCTGGATTTAATTTACAAACTCTGGCTGTTGTGATATGTTGTTTATTAGAAGTTGTGAATATTTTTCCTTATCAGTATGGCTCCTTGCCACCTGGATTTCTGTTGTCGCCACGTGGAGACGCATCTGTCGCTGCCCTGGAAGCTGCAGGACCGCATCAGTTGCCTCCGCCTCCTCCGCCGCTGCCTTCTAATGGAGCAATCCCACCACCACCACCTCCCCCTCCTCTTCCACCAGCTCTGAATGGTGTGGGAATTCCTCTACCTTTTGGGGCTCCTCCACCACCACCACCTCCACCAGGCCTGCCTGGAGCACAGTCGTCTCCACCTCCCCACACTTTGCCATTTGGTCTGAAGCCTAAAAAAGAATTCAGGCCCGAAATTACTATGAAAAGATTCAACTGGTCTAAGGTAAGCCTCGTAAAATTCTAGTGTAAAATAAAACATAGAACTTAGGCTAAATGGATTGTCAGAAATAAGACTATCTTGAGTAATTGATAAATTAGTTAAAATTATTTAAGAACTTATATGAAGACTTTATACCTTTACATTAGTTTTATTGCTTTTTGAAAACTACACTGCTCTGATTAATCATCTGGGCAGGTGGTCTGGATAAGCCAGGTCTGGTTGAGAAATAATACAGCCTTGATGCCTGCTTGCTTCTTGGGTCCTGCTGCAACTGATCAGGTAGTAAACTGCTTACATTGGGTCAGTCATAGTGCTGAACTGATACTTCAAGACAAGTGTCTTGTATCTGTACAACTATCTAGTCAGGACTGTGGGAAGAGACACTGCAGGTCTCTCCATTTGTGCTTTGTGTGGATGTTCTCATATGAAGTTTTAGTGCTTAAAAAAAAGTGTCTTTTCTACTCTGGAACAATCAGTTGAGTTTTGGGAACTATAGCTGCTTAGCTCCAAATAAGTCAATTTAAAAAGCTTGAGTTTTACAAAGCAACCAAAGCCTCAATGTAAAAATATAGAGTGTTTTTTCATGTGTTCAGAGATGACTTAAAACTTGCTTAAGTTTAAAATCTAGATCAAAAATAGTTTGTTGTGCTTAGACCTTGGGTAAGAGACTGTCTTGTCACTGCATTACATTGATATAATTGTTCTGTCCAAAAATACTTACTAAACTTACTATAACGTTTATTATCTTGAATCAGAAGCACTTTACCAATTCTAATTATGAGTTGTTTACCTGTACCAATACTTGCTGTATTTTACAGACCTCTGAAATATGAAATCCAGGTACTACAGTTAGCCATGTTCTATAGATGTATTTTAAAAATTAAATGCTGTTTCAGTGTAAAAATAATCAAAACTGAATTAATATGTAGCCTTAAAAGAATGTGATTAATAAAAGTTTTGTTCTCTTTCTTGTTTATAGATCAGACCTCAGGAAATGACAGAATCCTGTTTTTGGGTTAAGGCAGAAGAGGACAAATATGAGAATGCTGACATGCTTTGCAAATTGGAGCATACGTTTTGTTGTCAAAAGAAGGGTAAGCAAATGGTTGCTTTAATTTTCTTCCTTTAATTTCCTTTTCTTCCTTTTTAAATACTACATGAAATAATTCTGTATGTAACATTACTGCTCTGTTTTTTAAAAGGAATGAGGGGGAAAAATGAAAATCCCAAACTGCTTAAAGAAATAATCTTCAGCTCTTTTACTCACAAAACAATAAAAATTTTATGACTTATAAGGAAAATCTTACTAAAAAGTCAAGAAATGCTTCTTGATAGGTCAGACTTTACTTTTGAGAAGTTGTTTATAAAATGTTGACAGTGTACTATGACCAATGTAGAATTCAGAAGGTGATATGTTTATCTTCAGAATACATATGCTATTTGATGTGCTCCGATTCCTTGGAGGAGAATAGTCTTTTTAATGACTTTTTATGTTCTTATAAGCATGTAGCAACATAGCTCTCCCATGATATTTTGCTTAGTTTCTTCCTGGATCTGCTTTTACAGCCCTGTGGAAGAGCAAACTCTTTAAAGTACTCCTGACTTTAAACCTCTTTGTCTTTTTTTTAGAAGTAGTCTTGTTAGCATTTTAGGCTTCTTCTGCCCCATACATAAAATGTTCAAATTTCCCTGTTATTTCTTGCCACTCCCTGCCCCCCGCCCCAGAGACTACTGCTTCAGAGTAACCAAAAGGGTGTAATGATTAATTCATTTTCTGATTTTCAATTTTCCAAATGGAAAAGAAATTATCATATATGTCAGTTTAAAAAATAATTTAGAATGAAATATGTAGTATAGTGCAAAGGGTTCTCAATCACCGCCCCCCCCCTTTTTTTTCCCCTCGCGCCTTGCTATCTTGTGTATTTTTTTGAAGTAACAAGAACTCTGCAGCTTTTTTTTAAGGCAAAGTAGCTTTTTTAATGTTTCAGTTACAATTTATTAATGTTAATATCTGATGTTATTAAAATATTGTGGAAAGAATAAAAAGGCAAGAAAATCTCATAGATCATAAACATTTTTGCTTGAATCTATTAGAAAAAGTCTGAGAGAGAATTGTTGTGTGTTTATAGCATTAAAAGAATTCCTAATAAAGCTCCCTGAAAGAGTAAGATGGAGAGTTTAGGAGTCACTCAAGGAAGTGCTGTTTCTTATCTGTAATTAAACAGCAAAACTTGGGAGACAAGATGTTGAGGCCAGAGGTGTTAATATCTTAGAAGATTGTGAATCTCCACAGGCAGCAGGAACATCACATGAATGAGATTAATATCCCATCAAAGTTTGACTGAATGGACCAGCTCATTTTGATTCATGGTTTTGATAAAACTTAACAAAACAAACCTAACTTACTTTTTTTAAGCATATGAGACTTGTAACTTTTAATTTTTGAAATGATTGTGACCTGGATGGACAAGAATGTACTTAATTTTCTGAAAGAGGTGGAGACAGCAAATATTGTGTTTAGACAAGTAAGCAGGTGTCTAAATAGCAACATGAAACTAAATTTAACCTTTGTTCAAGTCAGTTCACAAAAAATTGCATGAACACTTAAACACGTAGACAGACACCACTGGGTATTTTGGTGGCTGTATTGGTAAGAGCACAAATTCAAGTACAAATTAGGGCACAGAAACTGTTTCTGTTCTCAGGACCTTGGGGAGAGGAGATGCTTCTTTGTAGCTTACATACAAATTGTTAGTAAGAACACCACTTGTCAAAGAAATTGGATACCTCTCTTTTCTACCCTTCTCAGTCTTGAGGAGATTTAGCACCATACTTTCTAATTCAGAATCATTGAGCTATTCACTGCACTGAATTTGGGAACAGTCCTTGACTCTTCTAAAAAGCTCTAAAGTTTTGTCTCTGACACCAGAAAATCAAAAGGATTTTTAAATTATTCTATAGCCAAATGGTAGAATCGAGAGCATGAGCTGGCTTCAACTGTGATGAAGGGTCTGCTTATGTATTCTTTTCTTTTTGCTGTTGTTTTTGTATAAAAAAGGAATATCTAATTGAGAAAGCGGGGACCAGAATATTCAATGATGATTAATTAACTGATTTTCATTCTGATAAGTAAAACTAGATTGAAGTATTCACATGTTCACTTGCTGTGTATTAACAGCTGATGTTACAAAAGCTTTGATCTAGAAGAGGAAGTCTTAGATGTATGTGTGTAATTCACTGAGGAATTTCTACTAGAAAATAGTACAGAATAGAATACATTCTGAACTCTAGCAGATGTTAGTATAGAAGTTTTAAGTGATGTTGATTCTGAATAGAAAATGAGGGTGGTAAGAGAGGTGTGAGAGAAGTATCACTACAAGTGCTAAAAAGTAAAATGATACTGGTTTAAGACTGTAGGAAAAGTACTGAACAGTACCTTAAGGCAAAGATCATCAAAATTAACACCTTACAATATCAGGAAGGTCAAACAGATGATCATATATTTGAAGAATTACTTGGGTTGTAAGGATCTCTAGAACTCACCTGGTTCAACTCTCTGTTAAAGCAGAGCCAACCGAGTTCATGTTGCCTGGTCTTTTCTCCCACTGAATTCTGGCTGCCCCCAAAGATGGAGCTTTTGTAGCCCCTAGGGCAGCCTCTTCCAATTTCCCAACACCATCATGGGGAAGACTTTTCTTAGTATCTGGATGGAATGCTGCTTGTTAGGACTTTTCTCTGTTACCACTTGTTTTTTATTTTGGACCTCCGGGAAGAGGCTGATTCCATCTGATTTATAGCCTTTCTTTAGGTAGTTTTTGTTATTGGTGAGAGTCCCCTCGCCACCGCCTTTATCCTGGGTGACCATCGCAGCTCTCAGCCTGCTCTTATACACTGCAATTTTCTGTCCTCTAATCATATTGACTTTTCTTGGACTGGGGTGCCTAAAACCCTGTACCCTCTCCCTGAGGGAGGAGAGAAATACAGTGAATTAACCACTTTCTTTCAAGTTTTTACATTGCTCCTTTTTTTTTTCTTTTATCTAAAAGCAAACAAAACCTGCTTGATTAATGGTTCAGAGTCCTCTTAAGAAGGTATGGGTGGAATTAGATAATTTCTCTTAATTTCCTATTTGTTATAAAAGCATATTACTCACTTTCCAGAAATTGAAACATTCTGTGAATGTAATACATTTTTTAAGTTAGCATTTTGAGATAGAACAATAAGAAATGCCTGAATGTCAGTGACTGACCATGGTCTTGTAGCAGATTATTGGAAACAGGTGTAATTTATTGGACAGTGCTATTCATAATTTGGTATAAATATGTATTCTTAAAGAAATAATGTGCTTTGCAGATAAAATAGGCAAGGACTAAATGGAAAAACTACTCTTTTGTCATAAAAAAACTTTGAAGATGTACTGCTACATATGGGTTGGAGGAGGAGAACATTAGTTTGAAGTCTGGAAGTATAGATCAATTTAGATTATTTTCAGTGCAACTACGTAAGAGATTGGATTATGCCTGTGAAGTGCATGTATGTTTTCCCCTCCCTCTATGAACAAATGTTTGAAGTTTATTGTGAGATGCCCCAACACTGAAATAAAAGATTGTGGAATCCTGAAATTATTAGTTTGTGGCAGCAGTTAATAAAAGTAAGAAAGAAAAATCACTTCCCTATGGATGCCATTGTAGAAGTACTGGTCCTACCCAGAGCGTTTTTATAATCAGGTAGAAAAAAAATGTTACGAGTTGAAAAATTTTCAAAATAAAGTGAGTGTAGATGGTCTGCACTGCTGTTCTTTGATATGTAGACAACAGTCCTGTTTGAGGGCGGAAAGCAAGATGCGGTACCGAGATAATTTGAGGTTTGAAAGAGAAAGAAGTAAAAAGAAATATCAAGTGTTTGGGATTTATCAGGATTACAGTCATGGCTGCAGATCAATGTGTAAATGTGAAACAAGTCTTTCTGGCACCACTGATACCAAAGAAATAGCTTATATACTATTATTCTTTGAAAACATGAAACCAAATAGCTCATTTATAGTTGACTGACATGTGAAATACAGAGCAGCAGAGCTGGAGCAAAGCTTACAGGGCGTTTTTATATTGTCTAAAGCCTAAAACATCAGATGGGGAAACAAGAATGCTCGGTATCAAATGACGGGTGCTCTTTGTGTAGTGATCACAAACTTAATGTTGTACCCAGAGAGAACAAGCCAAGGAAATCCAACGTGCAGGTAATCCACTTCAGGACAGGGAGCTTTATGAAAGAGGCAAATGATCAAGCAGACAAGATTTCCATGCCTACAAGCAACCTCGTGAATGCTACAAAAGTGCTGCATTGTCATTCAAAAAAGCCAAACTGAAGCAATTTGATTTTTTAAAAGAAAAAAAGAAAGGTAGGGGGAAAGTTTGATTCATAGGACAGTTAAAGGCAGTATCATAGGGAAGAAGAATGGTATTTAAAATGGGAATGCTTGCCCGAATGATCCCATCACTGCAGGGCTGGTGCCAGAGCTGATTGTTCACAAATAAAGAACTTCCCTGGGAGTGCTGTCCCTGCTGCCAGGTGTCTGGAAAAGGTCAGTATAGATCCCTCTGATGTTATTTTATTTTCTCTTTTTTTCTAGTTGTGACAGGTTTCTCTGAGGCATTCTGGTAACACAAAGAGGACTTAGTTAACTAGTCAAATAGAAGAAATGACACCTGGACTAATAACATGATTGTTGCATCTGCAGGGAAATGAAAAAATCTTAATCATGACTAAAATACAGCTTTCTGTTTCTGAAAGAAAAACACTTTTCTGGCATGCGTGTAAAACCCAGACAATTGTGTGGGTTTTCTGAAAGCGCCCAGAAGAGATATTTAGAGCTTATAGTTATCTTACATTATGAAAGGGTTCTTTTCAATGAGGAAAACTTGGATATAAAGCATACAGATGCTTAGGCTTTAGGAAGGTGGCCTTCATGGATATTTATGTAGGGAGCCCCCTTTTCAAAGGGAAAGGTGAATATTTTGCTTTAATTATACTGTAGGTAAGCATGATCTTTTTTAAAACACAGTTTTCACTGCTTTGGATGATTGGTATAAATGCTTTTGTTTGATTCATACTATGGTAAAAAGCAAGCTA